AATCTGGTAAATTATCTAAAATTCAATGTGATAAAGGTTTAATTGATCCATGTGGAAAATATTGCGTAATCAATGCTTATGGTGCCTCAGCTGGTGATAGTTTTATTTATGGAATAAATCTTCGTGATCTAAATGAAAGCCCAACTGCTATTATAAAAGCAAATGAAGTTCATCAATGTAAGTTGCTAAAAAAAAGTACAATAAACCAGCAAGACTTTGAAAAAGAACAATTAAAAGCAGCAGGAAAACATGATATATTTATATTGTTTACTTGTGGTGAATCTCAGGTAAATCTTTCAAATACTTCAACAATAATTGATAAAAGTAACTGGGAAAATTACTTTGGTCCTTTTGCTGGACGAGCATTCACATATGCAAATACAGAACCTCCGAATGCAAATACTGCTTCTATGACCCAGCTCACTGGTATAAGTGGCATTGATAAAAAATATGCTGAGAAGATTCTTGAAACTCGTAAAAGAAAGCTTTTTGACAATTTGGATGACTGTCATAAAAGAACAAAGACTCCCAGAAAAGTACTTGGAAATTTTAGGTTTTAATCACTGGGATATTGACTTGAAATAATATAAATTATAATGCAGTTTGTGAATATGCTGAGGTGTTAAAATGTAAACAATTATAAATATGTAATTAATAAATCATATAAATCATTTATTATTTGCTCACATCAAATTTATGATTTTTACATGATTGCGGGTAGTGTGGGTGTGTGAAGTGCATCAGAATAATTAGCCGAAAGGCATGCTATTTTTCTTTTACATTACGTCCTCATTTGTTTTTTATATATACAGTATATGAATGTAAAATGCATCACAATGTTAATGAATTCTTTGATTGCTAATGAAAAAATAAACACTGCGCCAAATTTTTCTCAAGTGTGACCATCTTGGTCACACTTTAACATTATCTACTTATCATTTCACGCTTATCAATTATTTTTTAATTTGTGAACGTTGTTACGTTTGATTTGTAACTCAAATAAAATTCACAAAATTAATAATACTAAGATTAAACTCAGGGAATCACAACGAAGATTTGTAGTAAACGTCAAAGATTATTCTCAATTAAATACGAGTAACTTCTGAATATTTCAGAGATTATGTTTCAGTGACTACATCTTAAGTCAATACAACGAATCAATACAATACCATGCAAAGTAAATAAATAATAATAATATATACACAGGTTAAAGGATTGCGAAGGATAAGTTTTAACTTGGTTAATTATACTCTTTATTAATAATATAATAAATTGTAAGTTCCTTACCTTGTAAAGTATCGAGACTTAATAAAATTACAGTGATATTTATACATGTTTGATAATTATAAAATGAACTAAACTAAATAAATCTATGAAAAATAAATAACATCATCAAGGAAATAAAGTTGACAAAATTGATCAGCAAAGATGATTATGTCAATAAAGTTACTTGTTATACCGGAAATAAAATTGACATCTGGATCTACAATGTTTCACATTAATTATCTCAGGACATAAAGTTGATATCAGGATCGATGAGATGATAAACAAGGACATTTAATTGACATTGGATTCGTAATCAGATTTTAGCCAAAATTTTACACTGTTATAATGCTGAAAACATATTTACTATAAAATCAGAAGAAATGTAAGCCTTCTAATCTAAAATAAAAAAAAATACAGGCTCTTCAATCCAAAGTGAAGGAATTAGAGTAGAATATTTCTTTAGCACAGAAGGAGTTATCAGAAATGGATTCTCTCAAACGTAAATTCGAACTAAATAATTATTTAATAAAAATATTGGCTTATTTTTAACAAAAAAAGAATTAGAAGATTCACTTGCCAAAAAAGATGAATTAACACAGATGAAGAATGATTTAATTTCAGTGCAAAAGACATTGATGGAGAAAGATTTTCTTCTTTAAGAAGCAGGATCTCAAAAGAGAGTATGAGCTGATACTCATTTAGTAAAGCAAATTTCAAAAATATTTAGTTATTTTAAATACAATAAAGTGATCAGTGGTATTAGCGGATTGGAGAATAGCAATGAAATCACTAGTCCTAAAACAACCTCAATATTATCTAATTTCTTTTTTTTAGTTTGCAATTTTTCTTATAATAGTATTACTAATTATATGATTCTTGTGATATATATTCTCTCTTTATATTCTTTTATTTCACCTCTCAATAAAGTAAAAATCTTTTGAAATATAATATATCCTTTGATAGAAATCAGAGTTATAGATTTACAATCTGTCATGCAGAAGAATCAAAAGATAAAACTATCCCTTATGAAAATTTACCTTATGAATATGGATGAATCCACAAAGTATATATTATCTCAAGCAAAAGGATATAAAGCAAGTTCAGACTAGTCTTTCACTATGTTATTTACTGGAAGGAGTGGTACCAGTAAGATTAATTTACTTGTAAATCTTGTTCTCAAAGATAAAAATTAGCATATATATAAAAGGTAAAAGGAGGATACAGATTTTAGATGTGATAATTTGATAGTTTTGGTTATCATTCTGATGAGTCAAAATAGGTATTTGTCAAATATATGTATAGAATAATTGCAAAGAAACCTAAAGTGTCATATTATGAGAATATATAATTTAACTATATCCTCCTAAAAGGATTTCAAATGTGAAATTATTTTCACCAGAAAAAAAGCATCATTATCAATTTTAAAGGCTTATGTATTATTCAATGTATACCATAAAGTCCCGAAAATAAGCATCCCTGAAAATAAGCATCCTCTGATTTCTATATTATCCGAAAATAAGCATCTATAAAAATTCTGTAAAAAAAATTGATTAATTTTACTAATATATTGAAAATAAAGTGTTTATTAATTATTTTATATTATATAAAATAACTTTTTAATTATTAAAATGTGCACAAAATTCTTTTATATTTTTATTAATAATTCTAATACTTTATATTAGATCATTCATTATCACTTTTATTATGAATATCATCATCACAAATATCATAACTTTTATTATCATTACAACTATTATCATCACAACTACTATTATTATCATAAATACCATTATCACAATTATCGATATCTGAAATTTCTAATTCCTCATATTCATTATTTAAATCATCTAATAAATCTGTTATACCACAATTTACAAAAGAATTGATGATGATTTCGTTAGATATATTATCTTATGAATGTTTTACCCAATTATAAATATCGTTATACTTAGCGCATTTAAGATTTCCTGCTACAGTTTTTCCACACCACCATCTTTCATTCACAAATGTCATTCTTTACGAAGGTTATCCTTAAATGGCTTATTAATACTAACATTAAGTGGTTAGTAAACACTAGTTAAACCACCTGGAATAACCGCTAAATCGACATTACTATCATGAAATTTTTTTTAATAGGTTTCTCTAGATGTTCTCTAAAAGAATCATAAACAAGTATAGTTGAAGCTTCAAATCGATTATCATTAAAATAATTGATATATTTTATCATTAATTCAATATCTATCCAGCCATTTGCTTGAAACTAAACTATTATACCAGATGGTATTTGTTTACCGCATCCCATTTTCTTTCTTTTGAAAATATATATTAGTGGGAGCTTGGTTCTATCTATATAATAAAAAAAATATTAGAAATGGATCTATAAAATCATAAATTCTAATTTGAAATGGAATTTAAAAAAAATTAATATTCTTACCAGTTGCACAAGTTAAAAAAACGATAAAATGATTTTTTTCATTACCTGTTCCTCTAATATGAACAGTTTTTTCACCTGTTTGATTTACACTAAAATTACCGGTCATATCAAACCATACTGGAGTTTCATTCATATTAAAGATATGGTTCATTTTGTAGGATTTTTAATCATAAGACGAAAAACAAATTGATGGAATTTCTTTAATGATTCTTTGATTTGTTTTGGGAGTTTTTGTGCAATCTTTATGCGTCATTGCAAAGATAATCTTTGTCTTTTCATAAATGCATATAACAACGATTTGACAACTTAAAATTTGTTATATTATCATAAAGAACTATAATATCCGGTTCTTTTAAAATATTTAACATTTTGACTTGTATAATGGAATAAGCGATCGTTAACCCTTGCTTTCTTTGTTCAATTATCCAGTTATAAAGCCCTTTTTCAGCCTCAGGAAAAAAACCTTTCTAATAGAACCAATACTCCTACTATTTCTGTTTACCTCACCTTTCCAGTTTGTACTTGCTTTAACCTAACGTCTAACTATACTTGGGTTAAGTCTGAAATGAGTTGCTGCACTATTTCTTCCATATTCCTTTGCATAATTAACTACTAATTCTTTTTGTTCAATAGAATACGAAGTACAGGTACATTTTGAAACTTTACATTTTGAAGTTTTACATTTGATAACTCTTTTACATTTGATTTATTGGTGTAATTGAAACTAAGAAAGAAATAGAAGTTTCATAAGTTAATCAAACTAATATTGTGTAGTTCATATAATAATTCTGCGTTTCATGTAATAAATCTGTGTCTTACATTTTAAAAAAATCTGTAAATCATACCGCAGCATTTTCTTAACTTTGCGGCATTTGGTTTTGAACTTTTTTAAAAGTTGATTTTTATTGTTTTAAAACTTACTTGATAATAAGCACTTCTATAGCAAAAAAGGTGCTTATTTTCAGGACTTTACAGTATATAAAATCAAATTATCACTTTTTTTTACTCATAGGTATCATAAAAATATTTTAAGCATATATATAATACAATATTATCATAAAGTTCCTATTATTATTCATAAAAATATCTTTCACTTAGCTAACTTTAATGGTGGTAATAGTTCTCATGATATGTTTTGAATAGTTGATTAATATACTGATAATGTAAAAAATGCATCAATGATCATTAATAGCTATCTATGCAAAGATAAGTTTATTGTATTTGACTTAGATAAAGCTAAAGATGATCTTCTTGTAATTCAGTTAAGGTTTGATATACTGTTGAATCTGCAGAAGAAGATAAAGGTGAGGCAAAAGTATAATGCAAAAATGCCTTGGCTAATTTCTGAGATTTATCTCTTAAATAAGTAGAATTGGAATGAAAGAACCTTGATTTATATTGATTTTTAAAAAGCTCATAATTTAGACCAAAATTTTATCTTGAAGACCTTTATCAAAATACTAAGGGATTATAGAATACATATAAAAAAGCTAAAATACTTTCCTATTTATTGATATAAAAAAATAACTTGATGCTTAAGCAATATATCAAATCTAAGTATATACCTTATGCTAGCTATTTTAGAATCACAAAACTGAATTCTGTATATTAGTGTAATTTGATCAAAATACTATATAATAATATAAATATAGATTTACTAGATAATAGTTCAATCTTTTATTATGTATTATTAGTTATAAACTGCATGACTAGATATAAAAATTTCATTTTTTTTGACATTAAAAAATAGTGAAGAAGTTGTAGAAGCTTTTAAGAATATATAAGATAATCCTGATAATCCTCTTAACTGATCTCAAAAATTGCAATATGATAAGAATACTGAGTTTATAGAAAGTATGA